TGCTGCAGCAGCCCGAGCCAGCGCAGCGCTGCCGGAAGCGGGCTGACCACAAGCGCTGGGTTTCTGGGTTTCGGGCCGCAGCTCTTTTCTAGGTAAAGTTGGAAAAGTCCCTGCTGTAAGGGCGGCAGCAGGGGTGCTGCCATGCCCTGGGAAGGCAGAGGAAGCGCTGCTGCCATTCATTCTGAGAAGCGCCAGCTCCTACTGCCTTTCTGATGAAGAGTGCTTCTGAGAAAGGCAGAGAGGTGACCTCAGCACGGGCTGTGCCAGCAGAGGCATCACCCTGCCCCTCCTGGGCAAGGGATGGCAGCTCATGGCAGGGAGCAGGGCTCTGCTCGCCCCAAGGGCTCCCCACTCCTCTCCAAGGTCCCCGTGTACCCTGTGCCTCAGAGTTATGGGTGCTGACGGGCTCATTCAGCCCTCTCCAAAATAAATCCCCACAGCTGCCACCAAAGGGCTGCCCAGCAGCATCACTTACAGAATCATGGAATTATTTTGCTTGCAAAAAGCCTCCAAAAACCTCACCAAGTCCAAGCTGTGCCCCATCCCCACCTTGTCACCCAGCCCAGAGCACTGAGTGCCACGTCCAGTTGTTTCTTGAACACAAGCAGGGAAAGGCAGCAGCAGCAAATTTCAGTTTCTGTCATGGGAAGTTAAAAATCAGACCCACACAGCTACCAAAGAGCTCTGTGAAGCACTCTGAAAACGCATCTGTTTGTTTGTGGTGACATGGGACTCCTCTTGGGTCTTTCTTGAGCTTCCTGGAAAAATCCCCACATCAGGTTCTGTCTCTGCTGCAAAGGGCTCACCATCACTTCTTCCACACCGAGCTGCACTGCTCCCCTCCATGAAAACCAGCATCTGATGGTGTCTCCCCCTCCACACTCAGAGCATTCTCAACTCCTCACATGGCCCGTGTTGTCCCACAAGAGGCTGGCAACACAAGGTTCAGGGTGCAATTACTAATTATTTCCTTTTCTCTGTTAAACACCCAGGTGGCACTCGGGCTGGCACAGAGCAGCGAGCCTGGAACACAGACACCACTCCCAAAGGTGCAGGATGACCATGGCCCTGCCCCTAGGACAGCTCTGCTGTGGGTGACTGCCTGGAGCCTGGCTGAGCACCCCCAGCCCGATG